GATTGAAGCTAAGGGCATACAAAACTGTCTAACAATACTATGTATATAAATTTAAGACTGGGGCAGTTGTTTCAAAGCAACCCAACTCTCTCTTTTCTCTCTCTCTGTCTCTCTATCTCTCTGTCACTCTCTCTCTCTCTCTATCTTCTCCCACTTATTTTCTTATTCTTTTTTTTCTTCTCTTTTAAGTGTCTGTTCAATCTTGAACGATTACTTTTTTTAAAGGGATTATAACTGATAAGGGCAACTTTTGGGCCCTAATATCGATAAAAGTAATACTTTTAATAAAATTTTAAAAATATGTTAACTTTTTAAAAATAATATCAAATAAGGGCAAAAACACTGCTCATCTTCTTCCTCTTGTAGATCATTCATCAGCGGAAATGGTTTCTGATTTGATATTTTGAGCCTATCACTACTATTGTATCTTCATATTTTCACGAATTGGAGAAAATCCTCGATCATCAAACGTTCTAGACCAAAGGACGATGCAACTACAACTAAATTTCACCTGGGAATTGGAATTGGAGTAAATTTCTTAAAAAAAAAAGATTGAAATACTAGGACCTTGTCATTTCAGGAGGGAGTACTGGGACCTTGTCATTAATTGGGGGCTTCTGCAGCATCACTCTAAGAACCTCTGGAGGCGAAGGCGAAGGCGGAGGTGGCGGCATTGGGAAGAGGCGGAGGCGGAGGCGTTGCCGGAGGTGGATGGAGGCGGTGGAGACAGGCGAAGGCATTGCCGGAGGTTGCCAGAGGCGGCGATGGGCGACAGCGCTGACGAATGATCTACAAGAGGAAGAAGATGAACAATGTTTTTGCCCTTATTTGATATAATTTTTAAAAAGTTAACCTATTTTTAAAATTTTATTAAAAATATTACTTTTATTGATATTAGGGCCCAAAATTTGCCCTTATCAGTTATAATCCATTTTTTAAAACATCGGTTTCTACTTGATAAAAGCATTGGAAATTGGAAAAAAAAGAACTTAGTACAAAATCCCAAGATTATATTTTTATTATTTATTACACGTGAACGATTGCATTAGATGCTATTAGGTGTCACATAGGAGAAAAATTGTCCAAATGGTGTTTTTTTTTTTTCTTTTGAAAGTGATTTTTATACGGTCAAACAAGATAATGGCTTGGTGAAGGGTAATTGCCAGTACATAATCTTTGTACTTCAGCTAACCAAACAAGATAATGGATCGGTGAAGGGTAATTGCCCATGTGGCATTGATGAAAACATTTGTACTTGTTCAATCAACCAAACAGCGTAATGGTTTGGTGAAGTTTAATTGCCTATGTGGCCTTGATGTCAATGCAATGTATCAAATACACCCTAATTGAGATGGGGCTTAAGGTTCAAACTGATTGCATAGATTTGATATACCTAAATTTAAATTTGATTGTTGAATGACGTCTTTTATTCATTTTATACTGATCGGACTTTGATAAGTGCACATAAAATTATGGTTAACGGTTTGCTCTCGTTTACACTACAAATATATTTGTATTTGTACTGTATATATTTGTATTTAAAGTTAAGTTTGAAAGGAGTATAAATATAAATTTGTAGAGTACAAAATCTTATATTTTGTATTGTTTTGTATGTATTTATACAATATATATTTGTATTTTGTATTCAGCTTTGAAAAGAGTACAAATACAAATACGTATAATGTAAACCCTTGTTTTTTTTTGTATTATTTTGTATGTATTTGCATTATACATATTTGTATTTGTACATCTTCAGAATTGAGACTTAAAATAATACAAAATACAATATATATTTGTATTTTGTAAAGTGCAAATGCTATAAAATATATAAAATACAAGGTTTGATACTCTACATATTTAAATTTGTACTTCTTCCAAACTAAGCATAAGGCTTAATTGGGAAAGAGTTCCAATACAAATATATACAGTATAAATACATACAAACTACAAAGTAATATAAAATACAAGGTTTTGCACTCTACATCTTTGTATTTGTATCCCTTCAAAACTGAGCCTAAAACTTTGAAAAGAGTACAAATATAATATGTACAATAATAATATATTTAAAATTTCAAATAGTACAAATAATTTGCAAACTGAGTCTTAGTATCTTTGTGGAAACTGAAATTTACATCTTAATTTGTGTTAGATCCTAAATCCTTTGATTTTAAAGGGTTTCATAAATGTCTATGAAGGATGTGGAGATGTTCTATTATATCCATGGTTCCATCAATAAATTCCAATCAAACAGATTTTTCTTAACTTTCTATTTTTTCTAATAAAAATAACAAAAAATATTTATTTTATTAATTAGTAATCAAGGTTGATTATGGTTTAATTTCTCAAAGTTTCAATTATGTAGTAAAGCATTTTCGAAAAAAAAAATTATGTAGTAAAAAATAAAATAAGTACTTATCAGCTGCATGTAATTGGTATGCATCAAATAAGATGGGTCAAATTCATTTGGCAATGCTGATTTTTGATGTGGGCCCCCTACCAGCTAACGCCCAACTGAAATGATGGGTACTGGGCCGCAAACCACCAACTACGATAGACGAGTTCAGATCTCCGCCCCACGACGGGCCGCAAACCCCACTCCGCCTTGTATTGGGAACATCTTCCAATACATGGCGGGGATGCGCTGTGGTGTTACGGTTCAAAGCAGGCTTAGCCTTGTCTACACTTGGCAGGCTTATGTTAGGGACATGCCCGTCATTTTCGCCTGTAAGATTTTTGGGAGAACTGATGTCATCTTCAGGCAGACCACCAAAAGCTTAACGTACTCTTTGAGGAGGGGTGGTCGACCTCCTTGGGTGCTTAACCTTGGCACTCCTAGACCTTCATCCCCTTGCGGGGCGGCCCTGGTTAACG